AACAAAAGTTAACCAGGAATAATGCCGCTGATGAAAAAGATGCATGTATACATGACAACGACAGCAATCGTACAGTATTTTCTTACTTAAAAATACCCTCATGACTTCTCGCTAAATCTGGTGAAACAGACCAGCTGTGGCCATTCCTTCTACATAGTCCACGCGAAGGAAACGTCCTCTTGCTTCATGAGGAAAATTAAAGGCCTTAAATGTTTTCTTCTGGCGTTCTTAGAAGAAAGCGTTTTCACCCAGTGGATTTTGTGGTCACGCTATGAAATGTCACGCACGTCAGATGCAAAATTCTCCTACATGTATTTATGATTTTACCGAAATATAACCTTTATTATATTTTTTATATAGTTTGGAAAGTGCATTATCAGCACAGTTCCAGGGCGAGATATCTCAACCAAATGTTAAATGCGACAAGTTTTATATGCGTTTAAAGTTGATTTCCTATTCTCCTACAATCATCGTCAAAAGTGTTGGGAAGGTTGCCTTTTTTACCTCTTCTTTTTCTTCCTCCCCCCACCCCTGGCCCAATGTTGATCAAAACGTTAATGTTTGTGCGCGCAATTGTTCTGTTATATCCCAACATTGAATAGGGGGGACGGGGGATATTTAGCAAAAGAGAAAACTCTGTTTTTTCAGGATTAAAACGGACTACTGTTAAGTTGTACAACCTTCCCAACTAATTTTGTCTGTGATTGTAGATTCCACAGTCGAATCTTCACTGTAATACAACACTTCAAACAACCTAGACATCATTTTCCCAGATTTGTTACTCATTTTACGTCTTCCTGTTTTTTTTTTTTTTGAGACACGAAGCAGGGTAGAAAGGCAAAAACTAAACCCAACCTATTGACCGAGAAACAAACTGACCCTTCCTGCGAGAAATCTTTTCTTACGCCAGAGCAGTGACAGTCTAAATCTATCCATAATCACTCTATTTTCATAGCCGGATACCCAGCGGGAGCCTCTGCGGAGGAGAGAGCCATAATCAAACAATAAGTTTTATCTTGTTGTCAAAATCTTCAAGTCTTGTTACCTATCACTATAAGTAGATATGCCGATGACAACATCTTCCGCTTACGTCCATTTCCACTAATTTCTTCCACCTTAGCCTCCGTTTCCACACAAGTGACGTGTATAATAGGAGCGATTGAAAATTAAACTGAAAAAATTTATCTGCTACTGTTTAGATTGATTACCACCACGCAGCATCTTGAAATTAGTCGACACTGGCACTTTATTTATGTCTGTTTGATGAGAATTGCATCAAACTAGTGCAGACTACGTAAACTTCTCATCGTTTTTACCATGCAGAAGGGAGATCTAGGGTAGACACTCAGACATGCTTTCATTTATACTGCACTCAATCATGCATTGGTTTAAATTAATCCTGCTGATACATTCCTGTAAAATGGAAACAGTCTCGACTCGTTTAATTTTAGGGTGTGCAATGGAGGCAAAAGATGCAATTTTCAGTCTTTTTAGATGACTCTTCAAAAAGAAAACCGAGCTACAGAAGAGAACTACAAAACGTTCGTTTGTTAAGCCAATGAACCAAAAAAACTACTTTGCCTGAGGCCAAACACAAAAGCTTTTGTTCAAATTTTTTTACGCTTGAATGCAATCCACAGAAACATCTGCTGTGCACTGGATTGTAGGCAAACCTAAAGGAAGAATTTTTAAAAAAGGAAAAGATATAGTTATAAGCATAATAACCCACTGAAGATCGTTTTCATGTGACGTCACGACATTTTTGCCGCCATATTGGTTTACAACCGCGGGTTACGTGTCTACGTGATGTATGCAAATGAAACACAAATAAAGTTCACATCACAAATCGTAGCCTCTATACTCTCTATACAATGGATTGTTCTGAAAGTGAAGGTAAATCAGATGAAAATGTTGAAGCTACGAAGCTGCAACAGCGAGTTAAAATAAAATTCTCTCGGTTGAAAAATTTGACCAGACACTTTGTTCACACGGAACCGTTCTATATTTTTGCGCAGTTCACACGCAACTGTCGAACCGTAATAAAAATTACTTCCCTTGATCTACTGTTATTTGGACCCTATTAAGCGGTCACGGTCACTATTTCCGAAGTCCCAACGGGACTTTTTCTATTGTCTTGACCTGTATTAAACGGTCACACGATGCCAATCACTTAATTTGTTCATACAGTTTCAAGTAATGTAACACACGAGGTACAACAATTGATTTCCTTGTTTATTTTCGTAAGGCATTAAAACGCCGGAAATGAATGTTTCTATTTGAAGTCAAACGTCTGATCTGCTCAGCACTGGAGATCGAATTCTGTGAATTGTTACCTGTATTAAGGGGTCACTTAGCCATTCCCTGAGGGTGACCGCTTAATACCGGTTCAACTGTATTTCCAAGCAAAGCGAGTAATTACACGACTCGTAAATTCATGTTCGCAATATCTGTTTTCGCAGGCGATATATGTTTGCATTTTTCCTCGCTTTTCCAGCTGAGTAACCACGCATCCATGCAGCCAGGCCTTTGCCGTACAAAAACACGGTGTTCACAACTTGCCGTTAAAATTTTCGACAGTACCAGAAGCCGATTCCTGACAGTACCTATTCGGCTAGGCGTCCACATTTTTTGTACGGTTAGCTTGGTTCCGTGTGAACGAAACACTTAACCGTACGAATTTTCGTCCAGTACTGTCTGAACGTAGACTAAGTCTACGAGGCAGGCTAACAATAATAGGCGCGACTTCAAAAGATGATGGATTAAAAAAAAAATTAAGGCATTTTAAGAAATTATAAAAAACCGACTGCCGAATTTTTGTACCCTGTAACGGTAGATTTCGTTGCAAAGTTTTTCCTTGCTTATGTAAATGGGGAGACTTGCACTTTTTTTCTTAAAAGGGGAAAAAAGTTATACCTTTCGACTTGTCAAGGAACTGGCTTGCTAGTGTGAATGCTGTTTTATCCTGGTTGGATGTACTACTACTGTCAACTTTTCCTTTCTTCCTTTTTTACTGGAACAAGTATGGCTAGTAGAGAACGAGTCTTTTCTTTGATGAAATAGGGAGCTTAGCATCTACAACAGCGAGTGAATTCGCGATGCCTCAAACTTCTTCGGCCTTATTCCACCCCGTTCACATTAAAAATATTGGCGAATTTCTTGTTTTAAATTCAAAATGACTTAAACAACGTCCTTCATACAACGTAAAACTAGGAAGTTTCAAGTTGTAGTCGTGAAACAATGGCAAAGAAATGTACCAAAGATGGTACTGCACGTGCATAGTTGTTGTTTTGCTTAATAAACCTATTGCTTTCAACAATAAGGTAAACACAAAAGACACTAAAAAGAGCGTAGGAAAATAATAGCCACTGAAGAAAGAAAACATTCACTGTTCATGTAACCAAGGGAAACCCACTAAAGACACTCAAGATCTCTACATTACTGCAAACTAAAGTTTAGAACCCGCAAAAAACAACCGATCTTCAACAGGCCTAGCAAACAAGTGACGAAGATCGTGCACATGGGCAGTAAGGGATGTGTATCCACCGCGAATGAAAAGATGATTTGACCGATGAAAATACACGTAATCTAGGAAAGAATCGGTTGCGGGATGAGGATCGCTGGGTGTGCTGTGAAAAATAAAAACATGGTTAATTAATAAATTAATAACAATAATAATAGTAATAATAGTAATAATAAATAAAATATTAATAAGATAAGACATATTGATAGTCCCAGAGATTCCGGTTGACAAGAAAAAAAACGTCAACGGGGATGCAATCTGGACCCATGACATCACTAAATCCAAAATATATAAAATATCAGCAAGTCCACAGCAACAAACCAATGATGGGTGCCAGATCTCCTAGTTGTAGACCTGGATCAGTACAATTAAACAAAAGAATAACACAAAAAAAATGTATGTTTAAACAAATTGCCCAATATTTCGGTTTGAAAACCAACCTTTTATATTTTCATTTTTCTTTTAGCCCCTGAAGAAGGTTTGTTTTCAAACCGAAATATTGGGCAATTTGTGTAAATATATATTTTTTGTTTTATTCTTTTGTTTACTTGTTCATCGCCTTACCGTAAGGATCAGTTTGCCGTTTCATATCTCTAAATCCCCTGGGTCCCAAATACCCAAGGGGCGTACTTAGGTACGAAGAGACTTGAGGAGCTAGGCTGCTTCGGAGGATTATGTTACACGCGTCTTGCATACTGCCAGGCCAAATCAGTAATGACAAATATAACTTGTGTAGTGAAATAATGAGATGAGGACGTTGAGCTTTGTGAACTAAACGTCTATAATACGTTACATTGGGCTGTACGATGCAACGATAACTGATGTTTTCGTTGAGTGCCACTGTTTATTGCCGCTTTGTCTCCATGTTAAACGATCTGTTGGCCTTTTCATGAAAATATTTTAAGTTACACTTAATAATGACAAAATTTTCTTACCCAAACATCTCATCCAAATAGCTCAAGAACCCCTCCAAGACCTGTTGACCGCTGAGGCTACTTTTCTGTTCCGCAGACTCAGCAGTTTCAAGCCCAACAACCACGTGACAATTGTCGTCATTAACAGCCGAGCCACGTGACCACATCCATATTTCACTTGAAAATCCCCGTACACTGTAAATTTGATGAAGTTTCTCGGGCCAAAACCGGCGTTTGAATTGACAAATAATTTTCCACGCTCTAAGCATCTGGATCGTGTTTATGGCTCTGTTTTTATCAGCGGGAAGTTTTGGAACAAAAGTGATGTCCCCGTCTTTGAGGATTGTAAGCGGGACAGTAATGACGACGTATTTAGCGGTTATATTTTCCCCGTGTTGATTCTTCAAAAGAATTCTTCCACCGGCATTTAATCTGTGGCCGTCTTCATCTGCAAAAACAATAGCGCTCACTGAACGTGAAATCAACACTTGCGTAGCGCGGGAAAGTTGCAAATATTTTACAACAGAATGTTGCGGCATAGATAATCGACTTTGCACAGTTATGTAAACTTTTTTAACCAGACTACCATGACCTGGAGCCAGTTACTTCCAAACTAAGCCTTTGACGGGTGTTGTCCAGACCGGTTATACATTTTAGATCACTTTTATCCGCCTAAATTTAGGCCCAGTTCATACGTCGTGCTTCTGCAGTGCTTTTGTAGAACTTATTCAGTCGGCACGGGAGAAGCACGACCTATGAACTGGGCCTTTGTCCGCAATAGTTACATCATGATATATGGAAAAAAATCAAACGACCTCACCTTTTATTATTAATAAAATTTTTTATTATTAATTTGTGGGAATTACCACGAGTCTAAACTGCAGGAAAACTGCCCGAAACAGGTCTTCTAAAACGTTCTGACATGTTTTCAAGTTGCAGGGTTTTAACACAAATATACTGGTTAAAAATCATTGTCTGTGACATAACAGGTTTTTTCTGTAATACTTCCTCCATTTTTTATTAAAGTAGCAGTAACACTTTAGATTGCAATACAGTCGTTAGTCCTTTATTAGCTTTTATTCGTACGTATACGGTCCTCAGGCCAGACTTCTAAAATAAGTATGATAACGGACAAAGAGAGTCGGAGGTCGAGCATAGAACCTCGCGCTACTCGCGCGTTCTTGGGTGCGTGAAAGAAAACTAATGCCCTACGGTTTAACTTAAAGCGAACTTTAACATTGCACACCTGGTACATTCAAGCATAGCAAGAAAAAGAAAAAACCTAAATGACAGTTAAAGAATCAAACATACATACTGTCTACTTATCTAAAAGATGAGTGTTTACTTCACAGATAGGTATTATACCTTACCTTTCCAAACGATTTTCTTAACTTACCAGTTGAGTCGTTTATCCACATCTGTGGTGTTATCTAAGTAATACTTTACCAGTTGGGAATATGATTCAGCAAGTCTGAAGTGTCAAACACAGGTAAAAAGTAAGGACAAGCTCCCCGAGAGGGACTTCATCAACAAACTCAAAAATTAGAACCACCTTGTACAGCATAATAAAAAGTAACACAGGAAGGGAATGCTCAGAAGCTTTCAGTTGAATGGTCACACTTTGGGATTTCATCCACAAACTCAAAAGTAAAACTACCTCTTGAAGCACAATAAACAGTACCACATGAAAGCACTGCTCAAACGCTTTAATTTGAATGGCCACCCTTTCCGAGGTCATACTTGAATTCAAAAGTTAGGACCACCTCGCACAGCACAACCATTACTTTGTCCGAAGACATACTATCAAGTCATACTGTACGACCTACAAAGTACTGAGCTCACCTGCAATTTCCAAGGCCCCACTCAAATTTCGATTCCATTCTCCTTCTTCCTTCACGCACTCCATAATGTGTCAAAGACCCAGCTGAAATCCTTAGTTTCCAGTAGTCAATAATGTCCAAAATATCCTGCGACAATCCCTTGTCTTGAAGCCTTTCATTCAGGGAATCTGACAGTGAGCCATCTTCATTACCTTGGTGATTGTATCTACTGCTGATTATTTCTTTCCACGTATCTCTGGCGACTTTAATTTCTGGCTGTTTGCTGGACAGAGAGTAAAATTTTCCCTTGTAGTAAATTTTTCACCCTCTTCTTCATCTTTACTTTGGGCTGCCTGCAAGTTTCAGAGGGAAAATTTAATGGAGCAAGCAACTTTCAGGGAAATAGACGGTTTTAAGTTAACTTGGCAATGTTTAAAAGGTATGGAGTCCTTCTTGAGGTTAAATTTGTGATCTGAGAATCATTAACCACGGGTATTTATTTTTGTGCTAAACAGATGACAACAGACGAATAATGAATGCCGGATTAACCCATTCGCCGCTGTTCCGCCCGTAACCACGTCCCTTGAATCACTTAAAAGTGACGTAATCATTTTTGGCCGTCGAGGACAACTTGTGCAGGGTGAAGAGATTTTTTAAACCATACCAGGATGAGTACGTTTCAGTCTAGAACGCCGGAGAAAAAAAGCAAAAAGTTGGCTTGAAAATTCCAATGAAAATCTTGTTCCACTACCCGAGACGCATGTGTAGTAACACGTCATCAGTATGAAATTTATCCGCTCATTCCTCAGACGTCATTTTATGGACAAACCAGTGATGGCGTCACGAAAGATCGACTGTTTCTTCAGGTTACACCCGCATTTCCTTCCATCCGTTCCTAACAGTCTTCCCAAAAACTCCCGTCCCAACAAATGAAGAAATTCTTAATTGAACTTACAGGAAGGATAAGAAAGCCATTATTAAGAGCAAGCTTATTAACCAAAGTGTTTGATCCATGAATAAATTCTCCACCAAGATCAAAAGAACCAAAATTTTTGAAAGGCTGTGCTTGCTTCACCCTGTCACCCATTAAAATAAATAAAGCATGAAGCAGGTCTAGTTTCAGCAGGCTCTTTGCTTTGAACCACAAGCCGGTTTTTGCAGATAAGACGGTGATAGTTTGTGTACTGTTTCGATCAGTTTGTTGTCTATTCCATGCGAAATCCGGTCGTTTATCGGACCGCCAAGCGAAGTGGACAAAGTAATGTTTTGCTAACTATTTAAGTTGTTATGTAAGTCTTAACCAGGCACTTTTTTGCTGCAGCTCACTCAACTTAAAAATTTCTAGACTGAAATGGCACCTGCTTGAAACTTCAGGGAGTCAGATTACTGAATAAATGTTCTAAAATTTGCGTTATTTTAAATTTTCACAAGTTGAAATGCTTCTAGGGACCACTAGCTTACAGCCCGTCTTTAATCGGCCTTTGAATGACTTTTTATTGTTTCAAATTGCCAAGTAGTAGAATGAGGTGAATTTTGTGCTAACCTGATTTTCAAAACTCCAGTTTTTCTGAGATGTTTCCTATAGGATAAAACATCAGCATCTGACGTATTCAGTAGCTGTCTGTTCATCCCTCGGGCACATTTTGAGACAAGTTCAGTGATGGCCAGTTTCTTTGGTTACGAGATATGACGTCATAAGTAGCAAGTCATTTTTAAGTGAAAGTACATGTTTTTTCAACTTTTTTCAACAATGAAAGTAAATTTTGTGGCTAACATCATGCAACGTGCTTATTTATGTGTTATTTTTCACGTAAAGTACAAAAAATTACCATTTCTCCCGGCTTCAACCTGATTTCTAATTCTTGGCAAAATCCAAGATGGCGACCATAGTTGGTGACGTCACAGGCCTCTAGCAGCGCCATCACCCATAAAATATACCTTATCTTGTTAAGATCAAAGGCTTTCCACTAAAGCTAAAATCGTTTCGAAATACTGCCACATATCAAAAACTCCGGGGAGGGGTTCCACCCCTCCCTTGTACCACGGGTGGGTATGACATGACTTTGCTTGTACGTCCGAGGGTTAATCCGAGTTTCTTTTTCTTTTATTGGGAAGCATTTTCTCGGGTAATTTTCTCTATTCTTTTAACATCATCCAATCGTCATACTGAAGACAAAAAGAATTAAAATGAATTGGCTTTTTAACCTTTCAACTCTGAATTCAAATTTCGCACTAACCCCGGGTTATCTTAACCCAGCTTTGGACAACTCGACCCAGGTATACATGTGTATACTTTTGATTGTTTTAGACTGGGGCGAATTAGGCGTTTCCGTCTATTTATTTTAAATTAAAACCGTTCAGGAAATAAACTGAGAACAGAATATCGATTTTTCAGTTTCATTAGCGTTCTCAGTAAAGCTTTCATTCGTTAACCAGTAAAGCTGAAAAAACTTTTGCCTGGGGCCAAACACTAAAACTTTTGTTCAAAAATTGAATAAAATCGCAAAAATTGCGGATTTAGTTGGGGTCCTCTGCAACTCCTCCAACACTACTTTACAAAGATTCAGGGAATTTTTTTCAAAATGAACTAAATTGCAATAAACAGCTTTAAAACTTCCCGCCACCCGCTATTCTTTTTCCTTTTTTCAAGTTACTTTGGAGAAATATATATTCTATTTAAAAAGGGATTGACAATACTGTACTCGATGGCTTTTCCCTGGGATCATGAGATTTACTTCTGCATGAAATCTTACGTCAACAAACTTTTCGCCACGACGCCAATGGACTCTAAAAAATTGTATGTCAATATTTTACAAAAAACAAGGTAATAAGTTCTGAGCGCGCCATTTCTTTCCTTTAATTATAGTTCTTAAAATAACACCTGCTGAGTTTTTTACCTATTATTCGTTGTTTGAAAGCATTGTTTGCGAGCAGAGGATCGTAACTAAGCGATAAAACCCGGAAACTAAAATATTAATAATTTCAAACGGTAAAACAGTAACTTGGCATGTGTGGTTGAACGTGACTTTTATACGAAACAATTTTGGAGACAAGAGTTTAACTTGCTTGCTCAAAGTGCGCACATAATTACTAGCTGATTTCCAGAAAATTTTTATCCACTCATTTCCCTGTCATTTGGACTTGAATACAATTTGTCAAAAAAGTGGTAATAGCCCTGTTGTGGTATATCAATTTAGAAATTGTGCAGAGGTGAAAAAACATTGTATTTTGGCTACAAACACAATGTGCGATTACAGAAGCCGTTGAATTCCGTTGAATTTGTGTGTAATGGCTAAGCGGATAGACAAAAATGGCGGTGATGACGTAACGTGAAAACCACCTATTAAAAGTGAGGCTAAGGGGAAAACCCTTGCGTTCTATATGGGCAATACAGACTTTTAAACTTGAATCAGAGCTTAGGGATTGAAATCTTCTAACAATGAAACACCTTCCATTCTTTCCAGAAAATCAAACACGCGTCTGTTCGTGCTGGCGGCAATTATGTTTCTACGCTGGTATTCTCATAGTTTTGCCAACAAAACGACCTACCGTATATGAGCGATGATATACAGCTATTTCGAGAAAGATGGTCGGAAAAAATGTGCACGCAACAATCCCGAAAGGTAGTATGGGATATGATCAATACGCTATTCCTGACACTATAGCCGTGTCAAATCTTCTCACTATTGTTGCTTTCCTTTAGCATTCGCAAACATACATCCGTGGCTTCTCTTGCCATTCTTTCAAATTTGTTGGAAGAACGGTGAACTCAAAACCACCCACAATACCTTTCGGGACTATCGCGTGCACTTTTTCCGACAACCTTTCTCGAAATAGCTGTATATGGCCTCAACCAAACGGACTTTAAGAAAGTCGACCGTTCTTGCGTTTCTGTACTGTTTTGAAAAAAAGCCTCAATTTTGTCAGTTCTGGCAAGAAACATTCACTGCAGCTATCCATACTAATTTCCCCGCAAGATGTCATTTCTCAAGGAAAAGCGGCCTTTTAGCCTCAGGCATTTGATAAACAAAATTGGGCGCGGGGCAGGCTGAGCAGTTTTGATTGACGTTAAATGGCGTTTTTATATATCATTTATAGTTTCATTTGAAATTCATTAATCTGGAAGATAGCCAAGTGCTGCTGACGACCTCCTTTCCAGAGAGAACCATGATGGGATTTATGCTTTCAGCGTTCATCATCGTCAGCGCCGTACTTTGGTGCTTAAAAAATGGATGTAAACTCAATCGCCGCAGCCCTGAAGAGAATATATGCGAGTGTGATTTATGCCAAGCAGGTGAGCTTGTCTGTTTCGAACTCTGTTAGTCGGGCAGAAGGATTAATATTGGCCCGTTTTGAAAAAGCTGCTCCACGGCAAATTTCACAATTATTGACAAGTATGACACTGAAATATCTATTTAAATGTTCTCAAACCATAGCCAAAGTCTTGAATAGATATTAACTTCACTAGCCTGATGAATTTCTTCAAGAATGACATTGAAATGCTTGGAAGAAAACCCGCCGCCCAAAAATAGCTAGGTTCCTCTAATCTCATCAAATTATACAACATATCCAACCACCTAGATGTAATTTTCTCAGATTTGTTGCCCATTTTACGCGTAACTGGCGTTCCATCGACCGAGAAACAGTGAAAGAGAATTCCGAGAACCCTTCATGCGCGCGATCTTTTCCTTCGTTTTATTGTCTGGCCACGCGCTAAACAAGACGGTGAACTACGACTCCTGCAAAACCGTACACCCATATATTTAACAGTGGAGGTGTATTATCACGCATTTTTTAACTGCTAATTTGCTTGCCGTTTGTTACAGAACTAAAAAAACACGCGAACATGACGACTTCGGTTCTGGTTGAGTACTGAAGATGCTGGGGTCAGCAGGACGCTGCTAACAGTTGAAGATTCTTTTATTGTGAAATATTTTATTAAGTTATGCCATCTTGAAATTTGTGTCTCGATGTGTATGGACTCTGTACATGAAAAGAACAGTACTGGGCGATCAAGTTCTTATGGTGCAAAACTATAACCAGCAGGGCGTGATTTACTGTACAACTTTGAATTACCTTTCACGTTCTTTCGATATAATCTTCGAGGTTTAATCTACGAGCAACAATAATTATATTAAAGATTAGAGAGTTTTGGATCAGTCAAGAGTTCTTACAGCAGTGCCGTCTTGCTAACTTGGACCGGACTAGTAACTAAGAGACGACGACCCTGTCCTCTAGCATTTAAAGTAACGTATGCCTTGAGCGAGCCAGTACTTTACCAAACTTTATCCCCTTTCGAGTACAATTTTGCAGTCCGTTAACAGCGCCCAAGATGACAGTCCACTTCCGTCCATAACCAAACAATAATTTTATCATGTTGTCAAAATCTTCGAGACTTGTCACCTATTCACTATCAGTAGATATGCAGATGACAACAATGTTGTTTATTTCCTTTTTCAATAATCGGAATTTTTTCCGCCTTGGCCTCCGATTCCACACAAAGTGTATAGGCGCGAAAATCAAAACTTATCTCATGCTACTGTTTAGATTGATTACCACCTCGTACAGTCTTGAAAATATTGGACACTGGCACTTGATTTTTGTCTGTTTGATGAGAAGTGCATCAAACTAATGGGCATGAGCATCAGCTGACTGTGTCCCTTTAAGAATGGAGATCGAATGCAGACATTTAGTCATGCGTTGATGAATACTCAATATTTAATCCTGCTTATACGTTCCTGTAAACTGGAAACAGTCTTGATTTGTCTGATTTTAAGGTGTGGAATGGAGGCCAACGAGGCAATTTTCTGCCTTTTATGATTATAACCATTCAAAAAGAAAACCGAGTGAAGCCGAAAACGACATTTTCCATTAGACCTGTAGAGCTTTAGTTCGTTAACTAATGAACCTAAAAAAAACTCCTTTGCCTGGGGCGAAACAAAAACTTTTGTTCAAATTCAATTACGCCTGAATGCAATCCGCAAAAATTTATACTGTGCAGCTTGATTGTAGGAAAGCCTAAAGAAAGAACTAAAGAAAAATAAATTAAATACAGTCGAAAGTTAGTTGAACCTCTCCACATCGGCC